TTGTTGAAGTTTCAGCCACGGCATGGCTCTCTCAATAGATGGCATGCTGTCCATTGAGAGTGCAGTGCGCATGTACCCGTGACATCACAGGCATTTCTACATTAAATATCTCCTAAATGGTGCAGGCACCTACAGGCAAGCCTTATTAAAGGGTTACCGGTAGGTAAAAGATACAAAAATTGGTTTAAGCTTAGGGAAAAACCAGGTGAAAAAACTATACAATCATTCTGAGCTAACTGCGGCCCAGCCAAAAAAACAAAATTCACATACTAGTCCTTGTTTAGGACAAGGAGACTATACCAGTAAGTGAAAGTGAGAGAAAATCCCAAATTTTGGGTAGTCCCCAGAATATTAGAGGGGACATCTTGCAATTGTGACCCTGCTCCCATTATGGTGAAATGCACCAAGTGGGGTGGTCCCTGGGAAGGGATGTTTTGCATGTGACTAGCGGATTAATAATGGTGTATGAAGGAGTCAATCCCAGTGTGCAGTTCATGATTATTAGGACCTTGGATCATAAGCACTGGTGTCAGCACCCAGAGCGTCCGTAGTGGAGAGGAGGTACAGGTCTAGAGTGGTGCTGTTTGCCTTGGATGGCTTAAGAGTGCTGTGATATTACCATATTTGTGCTCCACTGAGCTCTACGAATTCCTCCCCTGTATGGCAGCCATCCTTGTGGACCTATCAAACTCAGCTGTACAGGTGAGTCAGTGCAGCCGATGCGTGTCCATTCATTTACATGGGCTGTCTGCATGCAGCTCAGTGCTAAAGCAGCTCTTCATGGTTTATGGGGCAGAGCACCTGTGTGAATGAGCCCTAAATACAAATGAGTGGATGCCAGTATGACCAATCCACCACTGGCTTACCAATATGTAAGGGCAGGTCTGCGGATAAGGGGTACCACCAGGCCTCCTGTAAAGGGCCCAGGCAGCTGGGTGAAATTGATGTGGGCAGGGAGGACGATTGCCACAGCGGGGGGTGGGGCAATTACTAGAACTGATCCCCTGTATGACTCTTCCTGCAGCAGCTGGCTTTTTCTCCTCTCCCTCCCGCTGGCTTTCAGCTGTTGCAGAGAGAACCATACAGAGGATCAGTTCCAGTAATTGCCCCCGCCGCACTCATCAGCCTTCATGTGAACCATATGTTTCGCCCTGAGTGCCCCAGTGCTGCTAGCTTCCATCCTCTCCTTCCCTCTGGCAGCTGCAATCACATGATAAGATCGGTCAGGATGGAGTGGGGGAAATGTCTGGGAAATATGTCACATTTACCATCCCCTTCCTTTCCTAAATTAACACAATGAGCGATCGGTACTGTGTCCATTCAAAACTGAAGCAGAGTAAACTGTGTGTGTGTGTCGGGGGGGGGGGGGGGGGGGGGGGGTGGGGGTTGGGGCCCTGTCAGAGGCTAGCTGTATGGGGCACCATGGTTTCTATTAGCAGCCCTGTGTAAGGGTCTTGCATGTTTTTTTTTTTTTTTTAAATAAAGATTGCAATAGAAGAAGTAAGGGGCATGCAGAGCAGAATGCAACTAGAAAAACAAAGGGGCGCACCGAAAGGCCACAACCTCTTCCTCAGAGTCTGGCTCTGAGGAAGAGGTTGTGGACTCGAAAAGCGTTAGCCAGTTGGTCATCCAGGGTTCCATCGTATAGACTCAGATGCTGCTTGGATTTATTATCCTGTTCGGTGTGATATGCTTGTGTTTTTATGTTTATTGAGAGTATAATACTTACATTGTTCTTTCAATAAATATTTTAAACGATAATGCACTAAGTCAGTGCGCCCCTTTTTTGTTTTTCTACAGTTGTGGCCAAAATTATTCAACCCCAATGCTGTAAAGGGGTTTAGGGACTATAGTGTACATTTGGAATTGTATTCAGAATCAAATCCTACAAGGACGTTGTAACTACCCAAATGCAACTAAAATGACATCAATTGTTTATGTAATACAGTAGTAAATGGTTCTTATGTGGTTTCTTCATTGCCACAATTATTCAACCCCTTTAAAGACTACCACTCTGAAGAACAGAGGTTCATACAGGTGCTTTCCATCAGGTATTGAAAACACCTGTGGATGTCACCGAGCAGCAATCAAGCATAATAAGCACCAATTAGGCAGCTTTTAAAATGACTGTGATACTCAGCTCCTTCTAGACATTTACTGGTGTGGTTACAAACATGGTGAAGGCAAGAGAATGGTCCAGGAAGACAAGAGAAGAGGTGATTTCTCTTCACAGGAAGGGCAATGGCTATAAGAAGATTGCAAAGATGTTAAACATACCAAGAGACACCTTAGGAAGCATCATTCGCAAATTCAAGGCAAAGGGCACTGTTGAAACGCTACCTGGTCGTGGCAGAAAGAAGATGCTGACTTCGACTGCTGTGCGCTACCTGAAGCGTAGAGTGGAGAGAAGTCCCCGTGTGACTGCTGAGGAACTGAAAAAAGATTTGTCAGATGTGGGTACAGAAGTTTCAGCCCAGACAATAAGACGCACACTGCGTAATGAAGGCTCCGTGCCAGAACTCCCAGGCGTACCCCCTTGCTGTCTCCAAAGAATAAGAAGAGTCGACTGCAGTATGCCAAAAGCCATGTGGACAAACCACAAAAGTTGTGGGATAGTGTTCTGTGGACTGATGAAACAAAATTAGAACTGTTTGGGCCCATGGATCAACGCTATGTTTGGAGGAGGAAGAACAAGGCCTATGATGAAAAGAACACCTTGCCTACTGTGAAGCATGGTGGAGGGTCAATCATGCTTTGGGGCTGTTTTGCTTCTGCAGGTACAGGGAAGCTTCAGCGTGTGCAAGGTACCATGAATTCTCTTCAGTACCAGGAGATATTGGATGGAAACGTGATGCAGTCCGTCACACACCTGAGGCTTGGGAGACGTTGGACCTTTCAACAGGACAATGATCCCAAGCATACCTCCAAGTCCACTAGAGCATGGTTGCAGAGGAAAGGCTGGAACATTTTGGAGTGGCCATCGCAGTCACCAGACTTAAATCGATTGAGAACCTCTGGTGGGACTTAAAGAAAGCAGTTGCAGTGCGCAAGCCTAAGAATGTGACTGAACTGGAGGCCTTTGCCCATGAAGAATGGGCGAAGATAGATACCCGTAGATCGCTGCAAGACACTTGTGTCAAGCTATGCTTCACGTTTAAAAGCTGTTATAACTGTAAAAGGATGCTGTGTACTAAGTACTAAGATTGATTGAATGTCACTTGGGGGTTGAATAAAACTGATAATGCTGTGAGCACAGAAAAGACATTTGTGGTTATTTCATTATAACTGTTATGTTATATTTGTCTGACCTACAAGTGCCTCTTTAATGTAAATGTAAGCAAGATGACTGAATGATCAAAAGCAATGTCAAACTGGCCAAAACACTCAATTTCAGTGGGGGTTGAATAATTTTGGCCACAACTGTAGTTGCATTCAGTGAAGTTGGACCAACCTGGTCTGTTGAGGGCAGCAAGCAGTGCATATTTCAGAACATCTTTACTGGTTCCACCAAGTCCATTCCCAGCGCAGGGGAAAAGTGTTTTGCTGTGTTGGGCATGCAGAGCAGAGGCAGCCAATCTGGCAGCAAAACTTTTCCACCAAAGTTCAAAAGAGACCTAATCAGCATACAGCCACAAACAAAGTATCAGCAAATAAAACCTCTATTTTTAATGCAAATTGGTAGACAGCATATTTTTATTTATTTTTTGCTGGCTAGCTGGTAAGTGTTCTGAGAAATAAATATTTTGAAGTAGCAGTTTTTATGAATAGGACCTTTAAATATTTTAACAGTGAAAAATGAGTTGATGCAGAAAAATATGAATTTCACTTAATGATTGGCAATGAGTCATTTCTTTGAAACATTTATTGCTGTCAGTATCTGAGTCAGCACAGGTTTTTGCTTGGAGGATTTGTATTGATGTGGCATAACGGGGAAAAAATCATCTAGAGTGTAGGTGTGGTTAAAGTAGTAGCAGCAGCGCGCTGAAAGCACAAAGTACTTAACTATATACTTACCTGTCATTGTTATTCTGCAGATAGATAATAACAGGACCACGATTGCTTTACTTCTCCTCTTCATCTTTCTAATGGCTGATGTCCTTTCCTGAAATCAAAAAAGACATTTTTAGGGGGGATGGTTTTGCCAAAAGGTTATTAAAGTGTAACTTTACTCTCTCAATCAACATTGGCTATTTTATTCCATATGCTGCTAGCATTAGTAAATAGATAGGAAAGTATATCACATTTATTTGCTTTAGGCTTGGTTCACATCTGTGCAGTTGGTGCTGCTGCGGGACCCACACCACCCACACAGAAGAATGCAGGACCCGCTGGTGGGTGCCATTAATTCTAATGGCACGCCACACACACTGGAAATCGCAACCGCACTGGGAATCTCGGTTCCCGTGCGGGCTGCAATTTCCCAAGTAGTGCAGGGATTTCTTCCCTGCATGTCCCGGGGCACGGGAGTCCATTCAAATGAATGGGCTCTCATGCCCGTGCAAATTGCGGCCTGCACGGCTGCACATATGTGAACCAGGAGTTAAACAGTTACATTTCGTACTTCTTGGTTTCCATGCCTAGGCAAATGTTATACATCTCAGGAGTCATGAGGAGGGGAGGAGGTATTTTCTCAACTAAGCACACTCTGCTGCCTGCATGCCTGGGTTAAGGGCAGATGGATTCCAGGAAGTAATTGCTACGTGAATCATCTGTCCTTACTCAAAATGGCCATAGGCAGAAATGCTAGAGGGGTGTTTTTTTTTCTAAGTGATTTTTCAGCAAAATAAAGCATGGAGACATGGATGGACGGGGGAGTTTGCTTTGAACATTAAAAATTAATTGAATATCGCTTTTGGTTTGTGGTGCTCAGATGCAGGTCAAGTAAATAAAAAAAAAATTGAAACAATAAAACACACACACATTCAGAGCCTAGAGGTGTGGTCTGTAGATGACAGAATCATGTAACAGGAGGTACCAGCCACAAACAGAACGGTCCCATCAGGGGCGGACTGACCATTTGGAAACTCGGGCACTGCCCGGGGACAGTAGGGGGCCCCATGAGATGCCCCTGGTACCTTTTTCATAGGCTTTTTTACGTTTGGGCAAGGACACAGGGGCCCCATGATCCCCTAATGCCCGGGGGCCCCATGAGTTGTCAGTTCGCCCCTGGGTCTCATTTTCTTATGTAGCCCCTTGGGAAAATGAACTGCCCACCCCTGATCTAGATCCAAAAGCAATAGCATAATACACTGCAGCTTACAAGTTCTTAGATGTGGTGGCTGCATTAGTTTTCTTTTTTAGGCATTTCTTTTTCTCTTTATTTTCACCTGGTGATCTTGTAAATAGGATAACTCCTGTCCTAGGATGGCTCACTGTACTTTATCTCCATAGATAGCCATGACTGTCATTCAGGCTGCAATCCTGATTGGACTACAGACGTATTTTCCGCTTTTCCTCTCCAAGATGTGGAGATAGGGGAATAAGTAGTTTGCGGAAAAAATAGTTTGGAAGGAAGATAAGATTGCCTGTGCTTTCAGTTCAGCTCACAGGAAGTGACAGGGACAATGCATTTTTGGCCAGATTAGCAGGTATTTTCTGACAGGCAAACAATGAGGGTGAATGCTGCTACCTGAAACGCATTGAGATCCTATGCAAGAGCTTGTTTCCTATAACATATTAATTCTGCAGATTGTGTATGCGCTATCATCTTTACTTTTATATATATTATGAGCTTGATGTGTTTATCATGTTTTGTATATTCATTCTTTGAAAGTTTCTAACATGTTTTTTTTTCAATAAAATGCGACTTTTGGTAACATACCTTGTGTGCCTCGTAAAGTCCCGTTAGCATTTTTCTCTTTGGTTGTAACTTTTTATGGGACCCCCTCTATCCACACTCACTACAGCCGTTAATATTTATTGTGCAGTATCATCTAAATCTTTCCTCCCCAGCCTGACTGTCCTTGGCCCCCGTTTTCATTCACTAGATTTCAGTCCTTTCAATCACGCATTACATATGGGTGAAGGTGGTCTGCATGCAAATACCACCAGCCGAGGAATGCCCATTCCTCCAAACTGACATCTACCCAGCAAGACCTTTTTTATTTGCATAACTCCTCCCAAGAGCCAGCCCACTGCTTGCATCAATCCTGATGGTGCTTGGGAGAAGTACAGAGGCAGGGTGCTGTAATGTTTTCAGGATGCTATGTACAGCACCCTGCTGGCCTCTCCCATCAGTCATTATCTTCCTGCATTGCATAGAGAACCATAGAGACTCAGTGATGATGTCACTGCCTCCACAATAAGGTATGCAGTGAAAACAAAGGTTTAATTTAACAATTTTATTATTGTGTTGATGAGGGAAAACAAAATATAAGCAGATCCAACTTGAGCTGTTACATCTCAGTTTTATTACTATTAAAAGGTGACAGGTTTACATAAAGCTCAACCTTCGATTCGTTTTGGATCCAGTAGGGGAGGGATTTTTGTCCTTGTCCTTGCTTCACTGGAGACACCATGTCAAGCCAGGGAACACAGAGGGGTTTATTTACTAAAGCTGGAGAGTCCAAAATCAGACTCCCTTCTGCATAGAAACCAATCAGCTTCTAACCTCAGCTTGTTCAATGAAGCTTTGGCAATGAAACCTGGAAGCTGATTGGTTTCTATGCAGAAGGGAGTCTGATTTTGGACTCTCCAGCTTTAGTAAATATACCCCAGAGTGTCACCAGGACAGACGTGTAGGGAGATCTCCCTAATGGGGTAAAGTATAAAATATGAACCTCACTAATTCAATCAACTGAAAAGATGATTTTGTTGTTGTTTGTGTAGAAAGAAAACAAGGGGTAGTTTGAAGACAGCATTAAAAACCTCACCGGAGCTCTACCCATTCCATACACCTTCCAAAAATAACACATTTACATACAAAGATGTGTGTTACATGAAATGCCCATCACAACCAATCCGCTTCCAACTGTCATTTCTGCAGTCCAGGTCTGAAAACCAAATGGGAGTCCTGGCTATTGCTATGAGTATTAAGAAATATTCTTATTAGCAGACCTTTCATACATCATCATCTTGTTATTTTCAAATACAGTCTTTAATTATTGACATAGGGTAAGGGGTGCTTTCACACTGTTCTGTTGCAAAAACGCATTTCTGGTCCATTTTTTGTGGTTGGCGTGGACCTGTGAAAAAAATGGACACGTGCCTCAAAAAATGCACCAAAAATGCCAGAGTGGTGCGTTTTTGATGCATTTTCCATTAGTTTCAATGAGGAGCTCTGTTTTTGGTGCAGATTTGAAAAGTGCACCACAAATTCAGCATGCAGGACTATTCAAAATGCAGTGCACCTGCAACAGTGGTGTGAAAAGTCCCATAGGAATATGTTTCTTATGTTTTTCTTGCGCTTTTAGCAAGGTAAAAAAAATGCAGCAGTGTAAAAGGGCCCTACACCTAAAAATAAAAAAAAAGAGTGTAAATTAGGCTGCGTAACAGGAAGCACAATTATAGACTAGATTATAGAACGGTTTACAGTAGAGAATAATGCAGAAGTCACTGTATGTTTTGAAGTTTACTATTTTAATGCTAAATCAGACCCCAAAAGTCCAGGGTTTTATTATTGTTGGACAGATGTTCTAATGAAGAAAAACCTTTGCTTGAATCTGACTCTTCAGTAAGGAAGAGCTCACCTGTATTCTGAAAATTGCTGTACTGTCACCTCCCTGACCTTACACATCGTCTCCCAGCTTCCTAGTGTGCCCAACAGTAACAAATACCAGAGCTCCATAGCTGTTCACATTTATCTTAAAGTATACACAAAGCCAAACCATTTTGGATAGTGCAGGGTTTGGGTAAAACCTGTCGGTTTCTTTTTTGCCATCTGTGCCCCATTGGTGAGATTTCCCTTTACTTCCTGTCCTGCGGACACAGCAGTAGGTGAGAGTAAATCTCCCTAACGTGAGGATAATTCCCTCTTAGACAGTTGTCATCTGATTAGGAGTCTCTACTAAAAGATTCTCCTTTATTGCTGTTTTGGTGACAACCCAACATTTAGGCTGCATTCACATCTGGTGTTTTGGAATCTAATGCAAAATCCTTCAGGCAGAAGGGCAGAGCGCACCATGTGCCACCATGTTCGGGTGATTTTCATTTTCAATGGCACCTAAGTGTAGGGCGGTTTCGCAGCAAACCACAACGCACAAAGCTTGCCACCCAAAACATCGTCCTGCTCCTGCTTCGTGCGTTGTGATTTATCATGCAACGATCGTGGCAAAAACACACAGCATTTAGTTACCATTGAAAAGGAATGGCACTTGAACATGCATGGTGCTTTTTGCCATTATTCCAGTGCAATTTGCCAGCTATCACCAGAATAGGTGTCCCCACTAATAGATTCCCCTCTATTGCTGTTCTGGTGAAACCCAACATTTAGGCTGCATTCACATCTAGTGTTTTGGGATGTCGGGCAGAATCGCAGTGACTGCAGCCTTGGGATTTTTCTTCAAAGTGCTGTGCTAGGTCTTATGTTTTAGGGTCAGCTCACACTACATGTGTTTTAGTGTACTTCTTTTCTGCATCCAAAACACACAAAGTAGGTTATGTAGTTGTCAATGTCATAGTTCACTTCAGTGCTTGCAGGTCCAGTGCGTTCCGGATGCAGAAAAAAAGAACAGGCTACATTTTTCCTACACAGAACTGTAGTGGAATGCGGTAAAACACATCAAGAACGCACTTGTCCCTATTTAAATTGAAGAAACGGTGAAAAAATGAACTGGAACACATCGAAAATGCACCAGAACACGTCAAAAACGCATCATAAATGCACAAGAGCACATCAAAAAGGCATCAAAAATGCACCAGAACACGTCAAATGCATAAAAATGCACCAGAACACACCAAAAATGCGCATGCAGAAATGCACCCGGAAAGCATCTGGACTGCGTTTTTATAGTGTGAACCGCCCCTTAATGGTTAGGTTTACACCAGTGCGCAGCATCGGTGTGCACTGAGGAAAAATAGAACATGCTGTCCTTTTTTTTTTCTGTGCAGCATATTTCAACACAATACACTGCATCTACAGTGAGCAACAATGAATGAAATGTCACTTTGTGATATTTCAATGAAGTTGAGAGTAAAAAACCAGTGTAAAGCATCATTTATGACAGATTGGCATCACTCTCTTCACAGTGCACACCAGTGCCCATAGTATATTGCTGCATGGATGCTCACTGATTTTCATGCATTTCCATGTTGGACCAATGTGCTGCTTTGAATGCAGATAGGTGGTGTTAAGAGCCATGCATTGGTTCTGCACAGATGTACACTAAAGGAAGGGCATCTCTTAGATTGTAAGCTCCTAGGATCAGGCCCTCCTAATCCTCTTGTATTGAACTGTATTGTTGCTGTTTTGTCTCCCTTTACATTGTAAAGTGCTGAGCAAACTGTTGGCGCTATATAAATCCTGTATAATAATAATAATAATAATGAAGATCCATTTGTGATTTTAACCTGCATGGACTACCTGTTCCTTCCACGTGGAAAAACACAGCACTCTATACTGATACATGCGTTTGTGATAATACATTCTTATTAACCACTTGCCCACCAGAGGATTTACCCCCTTCCTGACCAGGCCATTTTTTGCGATACAGCTCTGCGTTACTTTATTGCGCGGTCATGCAATGCTGTACATAAATGAAATTTTGTGTAATTTTTTTCCCACAAATAGAGCTTCATTTGGTGGTATTTGCCTTTTTCATTTTTTGTGCTATAAACAAAAAAATCCCACCAATTTTGAAAAAAAAGCTATATTTTTGACTTTTTGCTATAAAACATATCCAGTAAAAAAATGAAAAATCAAATTTCATCAAAAATTTAGGCCAAAATTTATTCTGCTACATGTCTTTGCTAAAAAAAACTCCCAATACATATAAATTAACTGGTTTACATGAGAGTTCTAACATCTACAAATGGCAGTATATATACACTGGAATTATTTATTTTTTCATATTAGTAATGGCGGCGATCAGCGACTTATAACGGGACTGTGGCAGGCATTCTGCAACTGGGGGGGACTGACTAACTGCCACTGACATCCCCAGTCACACTAATACAGTGATCAGTGCTCATAAAAAGCACTGACACTGTACTAATGACACTGGGGAGGAAGGGTCTAACAACTAGGGCGATCAAAGGGTTAACTGTGTGCTGTTTTACATTATGTGCTGTGTGTATTTTAATAGACATGCTGCTGTGTATTTTTCTGGCCCGGTGATTACTTGCTGGTGCCCAGTGATTGCTGAGCTTCTCCGATGGGGTGAGAACTGTTTGTAAACAAAACAGTTCTCTCCCCTGTCAGCTCCTGCAAACTGCTCTGCATGGCCATGCAAAGCAGTGTGCTTACAGTGAGGCACACAGACACAGCCCCTAGTAAAACCACACACAGCACACTGTTAAACCTTTGATCACCCCACATTAACCGCTTCCTGCCTAGTGCCATTAGTACAGTGTCAGTGCTTTTTATTAGCACCGATCACTGTATTGGTGTCACTGGGGATGTCAGTGACACCAAGTCAGCTCCCCCCAGTGTCAGAATGCCCGCCACAGTCCCATTATAAGTCGCTGATCACCGCCATTATTTGTAAAAATAAAAAATCACAGTATATATACCACCATTTGTAAACGCTATAACTTTCACATAAACCAATTAATTTACACGTATTGGGATTTTTTTTTTTAGCAAAGACATGTAGCAGAATAAATTTTGGCCTAAATTTGTGACAAAATTAGATTTTTAAAATTTTTTTTACTGGACATGTTTAACCACCTTCCGCCTGCCCTATAGTACAATGACGGGTGCAAGGTGGTTCTCTCGTTCTGATAGGACGTCATATGAGGTCCTACCATTCTCATTGCGCATGCGCAGCTCAGGGAGCGCGCGCCGATCGGCAGTGCGCTGTGTCCCTCGGACACAGCGGATCACGGAAAGAGCCGAAGCTGTTGGCTCGGTCATGTGATCAGCTGTGTCCAATCACAGCTGATCACATGTCAACACGCAAATGCCGGTTATCTGCATTTCTCTCCTCTCGAGCTGTCACGCTGACAGCTCGAGAGGAGAGGAGAGCCGGTAATCGGCTTTCCACGGAGGGGACATGTACACTGATCATCAGGGCACTGATGATCAGTGTGGCCCCAGAAGTGCCACCTGTCAGTGCTCATTAGTGCAACGTGCCAGTGCCACATCAATGCCACATATCAGTGCCCATCTGAGCTGCCTTTCAATGTCACCCATTAGTGCCAGTCATTGTCGCCTATCAGTGCCGCCTATCAGTGCCAGTCAGTGCCGCCTATCAGCGCCATATATCAGTGTCATGTATCAGTGCTGCCTTTCAGTGCCCATCAGTGATGCCTGTCAATGCCCATCAGTGCAACCTACCAGTGCCTCCTCATCAGTGCCACCTATCAGTGTCCATCAGTGCAGCCTATCAGTGCCCATCACTGCAGCCTCATTAGCGCACATCAGTGAAGGAGAAAAATCACTTATTTACAAAATTGTATAACAAAAACTAAGAACTTTTTTTTTTTTTCAAAATTTTCAGTGGTTTTTGGTTTGTTTAAGAAAAAATAAAAATCCCAGAGGTGATTACATACCACCAAAAGAAAGCTCCATCTGTCTCAAAAAAATGATAAAAATGTCATATGGGTACAGTGTTGCATGACCGCGCAATTGCCATTCAAAGTGTGACAGCGCTGAAAGCTGGAAATAGGCCTGGGCAGGAAGGGGGTATAAGTGCCTTGTAGGCTTGTGGTTAATAGCAAAAAGTCAAAAATGTTTTTTTTTCTCAAAATTGTTGGTCTTTTCTTTTTATAGCGCAAAAAAATAAAAAACAATTGTCAGCTAAAGTAACGCGGCACCGTAACGCAAAAAATGGCCTGGTCAGGAAGGGGGGGTAAATCCTCCGGAGGGCAAGTGGTTAAACACCTGACGCTTGTGCAATGCCTGCTGTACATGGTGCATTTCAGACCATCACTGATAGTCTGAAATTTCAGAAACATCTGATTTAGTGCAGCAATGTACAGCCTTGTCCATGTAAGCAATATTCTTCATACAAATATTGCTTGCGCTGTGTGCGCCAGTAACACAAGCTAGTAATTATATCACACATGGCCTACCTCAGGGTCGGACTGACCACTTGGAAACTCGGGCATAGCCCGAGGGCCCGGGGTCAATAGGGGGCCCCATGGGATGCCCCTGGTACCTTTTTTCATAGGGTTTTTTGAGTTTGGGCAAGGACGCAGGGGCCCCATGAGTTGTCAGTCCGCCCCTGGTCTACCTAGAGTACACATGTCCAATGGCCTCTCATTGGCAGTAGGCATCTACTCATCTATGGCCAGGCTTAGTACAGACAATTCATTTAAATGTTAAAAGATGACTCATTTTTGTGAAACAATACATTCAAAAGTAGAATGCTAAATGTAAAATAATGGGTTGCAGGAAATGACAGATGTAGTGTCATGTGTGACTACGTCTGTCACTAATGACATGTCCTCACACCCTCACAGTGTTGTAGGTTAGCAGGACGGCCACAACACCATGAGGTGGACACTGTCATCTATTCTTGGCAGTAAGTCTAGGTTCACACCTATGTGTTTTCCATCGCGTTTTGCAGAAACACACAGATGTCCATTTAACATGATTTCCTATGGGACAGAGTCACCACGTTTTCACCCGGTACGTTTTTTGGAGAGGGTCAGGGGCTTTGTTAAATGCAAAACGTTCAATAGGCATCAATTGAGACGCTGCAGAAATGCATGTAGAGCGTTTTTTATGCAGTTTGCATTTTAATCTGCCCAGCAACAAGTTGTAAAAAAACAAAACGCATCAAAAATGCATGTGCAAAAACGCACCGTGGTTAGTTTTTTTCCCACCTTGTTGCTGGGCAGATTAAAGCGCAAAACGCATAAAAAATGCATAAAAATGCATTTCTGCAGCATCTCCATTGAAGTCTATTGAAACAAAAACTCAACGTTTTGCATTTAAAAAAAGTCCCTGACCCTTTGCAAAAAACGCACCAGGTAAAATGGCGGAGATGTGAACGTGTCCCATTGGAAATCATGTTAAATAGACTGTAGTGCGTTTCTGCAAAATGGACCGCAAAACACTTCGGTGTGAACCTAGACTAAGACCTGCAGCTACAGCCAAACCTGTTCACACTTTTATAGCCAGAACTTCTAATGTTTTTTCTCCCTTGGATGACTGAAAATTGTCTTGGCACAGAGGGACATTTATCAAGCAAATTAGCAACAAATGTAAAAACAATCCTGGCTGCCTGTCAGTTAACCTGGCAATACCCTTGTAGGTTTTCGATGAGCATTCATACAAAAGTACATTTGATGAGTTGACATTTCCTGTGCTTTTATACATTCAATTCTGGAACGAATGGCTTTTCCAGAATGAAAACCACATACACTGTTTCTTCGAGAAAAAAATTTCCATCCTGCTGCTTTGAACTTTCTCGTCACTGCAGTTGAAAATGACTGTTTGATCTTTCTAACCATTATAAAAAAATTGATTGCTTGATATGCTCACTGTGGAACCTAAGGGCTTAATCCTTTGCATTGTTTGAAAAGGCTGATTGATCCTTCCTTCTCTGATCCTCCCCTTCTTCCAGTGTCCCCCTCTTATCTCTTGATAGGACATATCGTGTGGAGTCACTCTGCACATGCTCAGTTTGGTGTGTGTTGCTGAAGTTTTGTTTTTTTTTGTTTTTTTCTTGGGAGAGTGCATGTGATCAGCACAGGGCCAATCACCACTGTCCAGACAGAGGTCAGGGGTCCTGCATCCTCCTAGAGCAGAAAGAAAACTCCTCCTACAAGCTGTAGCCGGTTCTCTGCTGGCCACTGATAGAAGTCAGAAGACTGCTCTAACTGCTGATGAGAAAAGGTATTTAGCAGTTTATATTTACTAAAATATTTGCATTTCCATGTTGTGTGTACTGTGGGAGACCGGATATAGTAAATGCAGGGTCCTGGGTTTAGTAGCACTCTACTGCATTCTATGAATTAAGGTAAAAACTCTTCTGTGCTGCATGTGTTCCCTCTCACCCCCTTTATACTTACCTGAGTCCTATACCAATCCACTGATGTGCCTGAGAGCCGTAGCTCTCCTGGCTCCATGCTGCTTCACTGCACAGATTGATAGCAGCGGGAGCCATCAGCTCCAGCTGCTGTCAATCAAATTCTTTGACGAGGGAGCAGGGGGTGAAGCCAAGCCACCCTGTGTCAATGGACGCATACAAGGCGGCTCAGGAACAAACCTGCACGAGTGCCCCCATAGGAAGCAGCTTCCTACGGGGGCACCTGCCAAAGAGGAGGAGCCAGGAGCTCCGGCGGCAGACCCAAGAAAAGAATTTGAGCTGCTCTGTGCAAAACCATTGCACAGAACAGGTAGGTATGTCCTGTTGTTGTGACCTATGTTATGTATGTTACCTATGTATGTTGTTATGATCTATGTTATGTATGTTACCTATGTATGTTGTTATGATCTATGTTATGTATGTTACCTATGTATGTTGTTATGACCTATGTTTACTATTTTAAACAAAAAAAAAAAGCTAAGCTTTAATGTTACTTTAACTAGTTCAGCATTAGAGAGAATGCTTTCATTTTTTGTACACATGTAAAATCTTAATTTTTTGACAATAAAATTACTTAAATCCCCAGAACATTAAATATTTTCTGAAAGCAGAGGCCCTGTAAAATAAAAAGATGATAGTTTTAAACTTTTTTAAACTTGTCATATGATATTTGCGCAACTGTTTATTAAATGCAAATTTTCAAGGAAAAATATAATAAAATGAATTTTAGTGCAAACACACACAATATAAATACCAGTTTTTGGTACAATATAAAGAGGCAAGGTTGCAAGTTAATAGATACCAAATATGCCAAGTCTTAAAATTGCTTGCACCCGTGATATCGCAAAAAAAAAACACGGCATCCAAAAATCTCTATAGGTGACAATTTAAAAGCCTTTACAGCTCATCAGTTTAGAGTTAACCAAGAGTTCTTGTGCTAGAATTAATATTCTCACTCTGATGGTCTACCAACAACTCTGTAGTCCAAGGTCCTTCCTAGTAGTATACAGATTCATTGAATAGTTTAGGTAAGTTCTCTTCAGTGTTTTGATAAATGTAAAGGACATTTATGTGCAAAGTACATTCAGATTGTGAAGTGTTTAGCAAGCTGTGTACTCATTAGTTCCTAATTCTCATTTGTTAAGCCTTGGTTTACATATATATGCATGCCTGTGGTCATTTCAATGGGCTGCTGTACCTGCAAGAAATACGGGGAAAGAAGTCCCAGACTATTTCTTTAAAATCACACTAGACCTAGTCGCATCCTACTGCATCACCATGTGGCTGGGTACAGGCAAAACCACGCCATAGGTGCCAATGCGTGGGGGTGCCTTGAAGAATTCGTGGCACCCCCATGCTTCCACTAAAGTACAGCTTGTTGTGCGGCTTGGGAATACACATGAATATGCACATGTTCCCAACCCGCACTAAATTTCTATGCCTATCAATCTCAGGTCTCATATCCAGCTAACATTCTGTAACAAACACATGAATACAAGTATATCAGGAACAATGAATGAAGAAAATGTATGATTTCAAATACAATGATATTGAAAAAAAGAAAATAACGAATGTGGTTTCAGTTATAAATTAAAATAGTCATTTAAATATAATGGATGCCTGCAAAAAATGTTTAATGAACTACAGATGTATTAGAAATGGAACTATACAAGGTGCAACAATTTAATTCTCAGAATGGGCTGTAAAAAAAGAAAACAAAATTTCTTACCTATACACTAGCGGGTGTTGTCACCTTTAAAGTAGCCCCCTTGAGAAGCAATGCTTTTTTTTTTTTTTAGACGACTGTGCCATGGCTGGAAACATTCCTGGAATCCGTTTTACGGATTGCTGCACAGTATCTTTATCACTGCACGCTGAATGTTCAGGAATGTCATCAAATCTGTGTCCTTTTAAAGCATTTTTTATTTTGGAAACGGCCAAAAGTTGCAGGGTGCTAAGTCAGGGGAATAAGGGGGTTGGACAAATTTCGGAATGGATTTCTAGGACAAGAACTCGCAAACACTTAACGTATTATGTGCAGGAGCATTGTTGTGGAGAATCCTTGTCAGATTAGAGTTCTGGTGTTTTCCCCCAAACATTCCCCTAACCTGGTCCTTTGCCACATTTGCATCAGTCCTTTGTGTTTTTGGCTGCCCACTTCTTGCACCATCGTGGACATCTTCCTGCTGCTCCTTAAACTGCCTGTGTCATTCAAAAACATTTGATTTCTTTATGGAATGTTCACCATAAGTGTGTTGTAACAGAGCACTTTTGCCAATTTTCACATAGAATTTGATGTTAATCCTCTGCACGAGATTCCTGTTACTTATTTTCTGCCAGCAGTGCAACACACACACTCATGCTATACTCTATATAGACTAAG